GGGCCTCCCAAATGCGTGCCGGCTGCTCCAGTGCTGGCCGGACAGCAACTTGCTGAGCCCAGTGGCGCTGCTGAAGCCCTGGGTGCCACTTAGGCCATTTCTGTTGGAAAGGTCCAGCAGTGTCCCTGCTCTGGTCCCCGCTCTGGACAGCCTGCGAGAGCCTCATGACAAGGGCTGGAAGGGCTCCAGCCCTGGCAGCCCGGCAAGGGCTGGGCTGGTGGCAGACCCTCTGGGGAGGGGGGGGGGAGCGGGGGGGGAGCCGTAAGGGACAGGTAAGGGCACTTGCGGGAGGTTTAGCAGCTCAGGGGAGAGGTAGAGGCACAGAGTGTCTATTGGCTTTGTCTCAGCGGGACACCGAGTTGTCTGGAAGGATTTGCTGCTTAGCTGGGAGGGCGGGGAGCGCGAGGACTGTTAACGGGACTGGGTGGGGAGACAGGAGCCGTGTGGGGACTGGGGGTGGCCTTTCCGGGAAACTCCCTCGCTTGTGTTATTCCGAGGGGTGACGCTGAAGTCCGATCAGCTCATGGGGGAGATTTATGACACATTTCCTACCACAGTGACTTCTGTCCTGTGCAAAGCATTTCACAAGGTGGAAAAAGCCTTTCTCTGCGTTAGAGCCTGCTTCCAGAGCTGTAAAAAAAGCCTGCAACGGGTGTTTATGGTGCCGCTAAGACTTGTGGTGACGCGATCTGGCACATGACAGCACATACCTCGCGCAGGGTGAGCGACACTCGTCTCTCACCTTGCTGACCCAAGATACGACCGCGCTACAGCCAGCAAAGGAGCCCCAGCGACCAAGGGCTAAGCTCCCTCTGGCCGTCCCGCGGATCTGCTCCTGTCCCCTGCCCTCCTCTCCTGTAAACGGATCAGCCTGCAAAGATGAGGAAGCAAAAAGAGCCAGGGAGTGTTACACACTGGAGAGAACCTCACGGCAGGGCGCTGACAGGGGTTTCTGAAAGGTTTGGCTCTACTCAGAGGCTGCCTACAGGAAAGGGAAGGGCCGGACCACGGCGAGGCACGCTGGCAGCAGCTCCCTTGCAGACGGGAGCAACGCAGAGCCAGACGGCTGCCCTGTTCCTCAGGAGCGTAACAGCCTCTCGCCCCCCCGCCACACGCACCCAGGCCGAACCCTGCCTGACACTCTCCTCTGGGCGAGGATCTGCCCTCGCTCCCACTAATTAACCCTGACAGAGAACGCGGGATCGTTTCCGCATAGCCCACGCGTGGCTCTGCGCTCGTCCAGTCACCTGTGCGCAGCCTGAAGAGCCTGACTCGTCCGTATCTCCGGTTCCTCTTGAGACAGCGGCGGTGCCCGTCTGCTTACCCGTGCACGGGGAGGAGAGAACAAGGTGAGCGTCGGTGTGGGGAACAATCCTGCCGGGCTGGTTCCGGTCAGTCTCTGTCACAAAGGCCAAAAGCGTCACTGGACGCAGAAAGAATAAAAAATAATCTTCAGACAGGTCGTTTCCAGACACGTCCTTCCATCAAACATCCCCCCTTCCCGCCAGGGAAGGACGCGGCGACAGGGAAGGCCCTTCCTCTGGCTTCAGGGGAAAATCTGCAGTTCAAACTTGGGCGCCCACTCCAGCGCGCTCTTCACCACGGCCAGGGCAGCTGCTCCCAGCGCGACCGTCAGCCCCATCACCGCCAGCTTGACAAAGCGGTTGGTCCTTGGCTTTGTCAAGACGGATTTTGTCCGCTCCTCCCCTCGGAGCCGCTCCCTGAAGCGCTGCCTCAACACAGTGTCTGGTCTCTGCTGCACTGATGCCAACTCAAAGTCCTTAAAAGTGGAAGCTGCAGTTCTGCAAGAGAAGAAACGGGTCAAGGAGCGTCCCCAGCTCGCCCTCGGGACCAGCCGCCTGCCAGGGAGGAAGATCTTCACGAGGAAGCAAGACCTGGCAAGGGGATGTACAGCAGATGTGGGCACACGGGGTGCCCTGCACTCACCGTTCAGCCTGCTGCTGAGCTGCCTCCCTGGCAAGTTCGGATGGTGGGAACTGGACAAAAAGGTCCCCAGCTCTGCTGATCAGAGTCTCGTAAGGAAGGTCCTGTGGGATCTGGGACAGGAGGTGGTGGACAGAGGCCATGTCGCACTCGCAGTCCAGAACTTCCTGCTCCCGGTACAGTACGATCTGCGGAGAGGAGCGAGAGCACTGAGGACAGCCGGGGAAGCGGGGACGATTCCTTGTCGCTCGCTGGCACTCACTTCAGAGCCGGAAGAGAAAAACATTTCGCTTCCAGCTGAAAGACCTGCCCTTCCTCCAGGGGACACGCTGCAGCGGAGCATTCCCCGTCTGGGGAGAGAAGTGCCAAACCCTTCCCGAGACTCCGAGGCCACGGAAAGCCCCTTTCTGGGTAGTTACATCTGTCTTCTGAGCAGAGCCTGCTACCGGCAGGTCAGAGACGTGGGCTCAGCGGGGCTTGACTCCACGACTTGAGATTTGTTTGGATCCCCCGTAGGAGAAAGGGCAGACGGACGCACAGCGCAGGGCTGCCCCCAGCCAGCCCGGCTCCCCAGCACCCGAGCAAGTGCCCAGCAGCGGGGCCAGCGCATGAAAGCAAAGAAAAACGCCGGATCATGCTGCCTCCATGGCACTGAACTAGAACAGCCTGAAGATCCGGACACCTCCAGGCTGCATCGAGCAATCCTGGACCCCCCCTGCCCTCCACCAGCACCAAGGACTTGGGGGGGCCCTGCAGAGCGGGGTGCAGCTCTGGGTTTGCCAGCCCCCCTCTGCAGCCCCAAACCACCGGCACCTCGCAATGGTTTGGTTAACCCCGCTGCCGTTCCAGCCAATACCTACCACAGCAGCAAAATAAATGGGCATCAGTGGATGGCAAGCCAGGAAGAAGTCATATAATCGCACGACGTGCCTGAAGTCGGACAAAACATGCCCGAACCAGGTGATCAGCCAGCTGAGAGCAAAGATGGTTCCCACCTCCGCGCTGCACAGAGAGAAAGTGCTGTTAGGTCAGCTGCTGCCAGCAGCTTGGAAACAGCGCTGAAATGCTCCTGGGCGATCCCTGCGCCACACCTCCGTGTCTGGGAGGGGAGACAGACCTGGCTATCAGCAGAGCGTTCAGAGCTCAGTCCAGATCCATGAACACAGATTATTATTATAGCATTGTTATTATCCTCTGATACAGCCCCAAGGCACAGCACTGCCACTGCTCGTCTCGCATCCAGTGGGTCCACAGCAGAGGCCCTAAGGGTCTGCTTTCAGGAGAGCCTGAAGGTGTGACGTGCCACGTCACTGTCTGGCACGCTGACCTGAGGACACCCGAAGTCCTGCAGCACAGTCAACTTTTCAGATTCCTTTCCACCCTAAAGGCTTACTAACTCCTGGGAGTTTGTAAATCAGGCTCGGTACCCAA